CAGTAACGGTTTGGAACAGCAATGGATAGCACAGCGTCTCCGATTGAAGTCTAGACTTTGGAGAGGTTATATCGTTGTCATATTAGGAATAGTCTATAAAGTATGAATGACATGAAAGGAACACTGAAAATGTGACTGCAAATATCAATATCGTAGATACCATAAACTTTATGCCATTTCTTGACATCCTTCTAGTACCGAACATTACTGTCCTATAAAAGTATTGCTCGACATGAAAATAAACGCACGGACCAATAACTCAAATTTCGATTGCAACAAAATGATGCAGGTTGTCATCCCCTACATCAAAGGCCTGTCAGAAACCATTCAGAGGACTTACCGTGGTCATGGTGTTGCAACAGCCACGGAATCTCGGATGACTCGCCAATATCCTGGTCCATCTTTATGGAAATACAGGATTCGATTTAATGAAAAAATAAGCGGAATACTAAGAAGGCAGAATGTTTAACAAAGCAGTGAATAGATCATTCCACACAGCAGAATCATTTCACAATATTCTCAAAACGTTGATAGAGAAAATAATCTTTTTAGACAGCTGTTCAAGGAGACCATCAGGATCAGCGCAGTGGCCCAGTGCTAAACATGGACGAGGGAAGAGGGCATAGAGCAGGAGAATTGACTACATCACATTACTACAATTCAATGTATATTTTTTTTCTATAATCTTATACCATCTCGTAACACTTTTTTCTATCATAGCGTACTTATGATTATATTCAGCTGAAAAAGTCGCATCGATTCCGTACCATCTCATTCACCCCATACGTCAGTGCTAATACGCTCCATGCTGGTAATTTGTCTGATGAAGGTGTTGTCGTAGAGACGTCACGCTTGCTTTTAAGAGCATATATTCTCCTTGTGAAGGTTATTTCAGAAGGGCAAGTCAGCGGGTAAGGCAATGCAGCGTCCGATGTCCTTTCAGTGGCATTTGATTTTGTTAACAAGAATATTTAAAAATAGTTAATTTGACCTCTTTTCGTCTTACCCCTCAGACATTTGGGGAACTATGTCCGTAAAATCCACAATTTATTTCGGCTCACCTTATTCTAGGGAAGGTTTCTGCAAATTTCATTAAAATCAGTTTTTTTGTCAAAGAAGTGAAATACAAGTCAAAGGACGCAAACCTCTGGACAAAAGGAGACTGAAACAGGTCACTTTAGAATTTTAATTGTATCAACTAGCATAACAGATCAACATGAATTTACGTGTAACAATTATAACACATCAAAAATTTAACTTTCAACAAGAGATAAAAAAAAAGAATTATTCTGACGAAAAGACCCGTAAAGTGCCTGTAAATCGTTCTGTAACCGGGATATTTCATCTTTCACTTCAAATCATTTCTATTCACAATAAGTCAACTGCATTGTTATATTGAGATAAGGAGTTCTGAAGCTCAATGCTATTTAGAAAAGGTTATTTTATCTTTACTTCATAATCTAAAGTTGTATGATAAGTCAGACAATATTACATAGTAGCACAACTATGGTCAGTCTGACATCCATTTTTTTAATACCTTTTCTGTCCTTGAGCAGATGATGTAGAGGAGTATGTGCTGGTGTTACAGTATCTTCTACATCATCTGCAAACACCTGGTCAGGAGGTTGCCTCGCAACTCTCCAAATTGCAGCATCCCATGCTCTCTCGATGTTGAACTGCTGTTATCAGCTGTATGTATAAAGGGAGATCACTCTTAGAAAATTTATGTAAAAGTGCAGAACTGAAATAGACTGTACACTTGTTCTCCACTGTAAACATTACAAATCATTTATGTATTGCTCTCTGTATCACGGTGTATTAATGTAGCACCAACACAAATATACTTTAATTTAACTCTTGCATTTATACTGGTACAGAAGCGTCGTAATACATTTTTTTTCGTGAAGGCGTGTATGATTTGCGTGAACACAAAGGACTCAAAATGGCTGCTCTGCCAGCTTAATGAAGATGAAAAACAAAGCAACCTTTTAAAGGCATAAATCGCTATGATGAAATGCTTGTATCAAATGAGGACTACAAATAATCGGTTCGTCGCAAGTAAAATATTGTACAGATGTTCTAAAATGCAGGCATACTCTGGTCACATTCCAACATTTTCGTGTATAAAAGTAGGTAATATTTGTTATTCTTATTCCTTGAGAAACAAACTAAAACACTATATTTCTGGAACATACAAGTGTCCTGCAAATCATTGATACATGTCTAATGTAAGCTATTGTATACTTGTTTATCACTGATTTGAAAAGTGACTGATATCGTTTTGTACCAAAACATCTCATTATATAACCATCATGACATTTTAATCATGTCCATACATTTTTAACATTAAATGATTTTACCATCAAGCTGTCTAACAGCAGACTCCTGCCCACCACGGACTCCAATATATGATGCCGTGTCCTGCATGCCATCCACAGTTCTCTCATCTACTACACTCAGCGCAGCTGGTGAAGGCCCGCCTCCAGTCTTCCATCGCTCCAGGTGATGCGTGGTATACTTGTCCTGGTGCATCGTGGGAAAAAATGCGAAACTGACTTTACCTAGTGTTAACTTTTCCGGTTTAATGAATATTACGTATGCGAGAACCGATGTCGGCATACACATGTCCACTGACTGTAAATCTCACAAACTCTAGCGTGTTAAGTACATTGGAATATAACAAAGTGGTATTGGATTTCAACAAAAGTACAACATATATAGCTATGACTCTGTCGCCTTATTTTGTAAATGAAAAAAAAAAACCTCACAGAAAACGATAAAATATTAATAAAAGCACACGAGCTTCACTATGATCCAGAAAACACTCCATTGTTAATAAATTGCATGTAGTATACAAGAGATGGCTAATTGCTTGTAACTTTACACGGTACAGTTAACAAATCTCTTGTTGAATTAGCAAACACTGATGAAATATAATTTGATAGAGGTAACGGAGGTTAAAATCGTCACCCTAAAGGAAATCGTGTAAGCAATATTAAGTTTGGATTCCAAAGAAATAATCTGTTTGGAAATGAATAGATTCACTGTGTCATTAAAGTCAAAAGGATTTCCAGAGCAACATTCCATGTAATCAGGTAGTTTCGTTTGTATTGTTTTTTACCGTTGGCATTGTTTTGGTGCTTAACGTTACCATTTCTTTCACAAAAGGCGCCGTTGCAATAGGTGGTAGTGCGAGAAAGACAGTTAATGCATACAATATCTGTATGTAAGTACACCCTCTTCTTTTAGATCCCTAGATTGGCATAGAAGTGGCGGTTACAGTTTGAAAAAACAAAAAATAAAAATAAAAATGTGTAAGACGGTAAATTGAAAAAAATAAACGAACTTTATATTTGAATAGCTGTTACTGTTTAATTGGAATATTATCTTTTTCAAAACAGCGATTCCCATATTAAAACGTTGCAATTGGACGATGGAAATTTATACACAACATATCAGTTAAACATTGTTACATGCAGTACATGTGCTCATGATACCATCGTCATATCTTTTTGGTTTCATTGCTATGTTATGCTATCTAAACTGAAAGGCACAAAAGGCCATATATTACCTTTACGACTTATTACCTGAATACGGATAAGCCTTGCAATATTTAGTCCCCTTTCACACACGTATGCTCTAGATAGGACTGGTTTGTAAGGTTTAAGCAATTCAGGAATTTTCGTACAGAATTCAAAATATTAAGTAAATATTTTTTTTATAATTCTAAATACTTATAGAGATATTGGTTTGTCTTTCCATTCCTAATTGCCATAAAACAAACAGAAAGTGTTGAATTATGAAAACTGAATATGCATATGTTAGTTTATATATATTGTTTGGAAAGTATTGAAGTCTTAGTTGAAAATCAAATGAGAAGATGTAGGTGTTTGTACTACATCTACTCCTTACTGTTGTATGTTTAGTCCAAAATCAGGGCCATTTTGGGTCAGTTATTTTGCTAATAAGTAAAGAATGTCTTAGGAATAAAATAATAATGATAAAAATAAATGGTAAAACTAAAGTTATGGTATAAGAAATAATAACTTGTTAAATAAAAATATAAACGACATAATAAAACGGTGGCAAACGAGCCCGTCAAGTCAATATTTAATCTTGTTAAAAGGCCATTGTCTTGAACTTAATTATGTCCAATTCCACGGAGGCTGAACGACTTTTCAGATACACGGCCGCGAAATATTTATTACGAATACGCTTAACGTCTGAAAGCTGCATGCATTCATAGAAAACAGGTGGATGTTCATCCCGCGGTAGGATACCACTAATGATAACAATCATATTTGATTGCAGCAATGATGTTTGGTATGAGATCAGTATATGGAAGTTTAATGTCCTTGTGAAGACGATTAAGATATTTTAGTATTAGTGTTTTCCTTCTCAGGAATTCCCTTGCGTCCCGGTGTCAAGATACACGCTATACTTTGACTTGTACTACAATTGATTCGTGATAGCAAGTTTGTGATAAAATGTTTCTGACGCATTTTGACTGCAAACTTTTACGTGATAATGTTCAAAACAATAAAGCGTTAGACCAATGGCGCATACATCTGTTGAGAACATAGAAGTATCGTTAGGAAGACGTGTGGAGAAAATGAAGTATTTGGAACTGCTACTCCTGAAAATATTTTTCATTCTTAGCATCGTATGTCTTGAGTACAGGCTGTCATCATGTTATTTTGGAAGGATTCCCTGTTGAGGAAAACTGAAATAGACGTCCATTTCCTGTCTAGAAATATGATGTTTATATTTTCTGTACTGTTAACAAAGAAACGTACGCCGGACCTTTGTTTTTGAACAAAACACTTTTAACTACAAGTGTATACAACTATTCAGTCTGTCCCTGATAGATCTACATGTGCCTGAACCATAACTATATGCCTTGATTAGGAAGACTTAATGGTACACTTATATATCTAGAATATAAATAAACCTGTCCCATACTTATTCATTTTGTTTTTATTTACCATTATTGAATCGCACATCAGCACAAATCCTACATGGTAAGTGACTGCACTTACAGTTTAAGTCAAGTTTAAATAACCGTACACAGATGAAGTCAATGCCGTGATAGGATATTTTCTTAAGCCTTGACACATGTAAAGTTCAAAGCAAATGGACTTCCAAGACTTCGCTTGTCCTCCACTTTCCAACCAGTACTTTTCAGAAATGCTTCCTTGTTTTCAGTTCCCCAGCCTATGCCGTGACACACTGCTCCCTCTATTGATGAACTACATGGGAGACAAACCAGGCAACTAATGGAATATCCTATTCCTGCCACGCACGTATCCCCCACATTATCTCTGTGGTGACTGTGTACATCCGGGTCAACAATTGAAGTCACTCCGTCGTCTTTCAGTACGCGATGAACCTCTTTCATGGCATTAATATGGTCGGGCAGATCATGAAGAACGTCAAACAAGATCACCCAGTCAAACTTGCCTGTCCAATCGGATGGCAATGATGTAACATCTTCTTTTACAAACGTCACGTTTTTAATGCCTTCAGCTTTGGCGATGGCAGTTGCTCTGGTAATTGCTGTTTCGCTGTAATCGACGGCGTATATGTCTGCGTCAGGAAAACGCTTGCTTAATGCAAGAGTTATGTTTCCTCCTCCACATCCTAGATCGAGTATGGTCTTCACCGAGCCTACAACATATGATATGACGATACTAGATCGATTATGGCCGTCATCGAGCCTACAACATATGATATGAAGATGCTAGAACGATTATGGCGTCATCGAGCCTACAACTTGTGATGTGACGATGCTAGAACGATTATGGTTGTCATCGAACCTAATTCACATAGCGTAACAATTCTAGATTTACTCAAATTGTAAATATCAGTTCTAGATCTTAATTTCTCACATATACAAGCACTGACCTCATCTGTTGATACGCTCGAATTGCGATTGTTCATATCTCTTCCCCAAATGCTTTTCTTAATATCATGTCTAATGGCTTTTACAGTACGTCTAAACGTATTCAATAACAACAGAATAAACATAACAGTAACAGTCAACTAAACGTGTGCATGAACATCTAGATGGTAGCTAAATATACATAAGTCCACGTTTTGAAATCAGTGTTGCTAATCAAAGAGTATGTCCTGTCTTACCTAGCTACATAGAACATAACATCGCCTGTGGTTTGGTAAAATCCACAACGCATTACATATATCGGTAAAATGCATTTGGACATTAACTGTTGATATCCTGTGGTATTTCTGTGTTCATATTGTGAACTATCAGTGGTATGATCGGATCTTACTTACCTAAGCTCTTAGTAATAGGAGGAAGGAGATCTTCAACTACGGCCCCAGGATTTACTGTCTTGCGTTCAGTTAGGTCAACTAAATCTGCTGGCATGTCTGCATAGCTTAAACCTGTAAAAAAGTAATTGTTAGGTACAGGTATCTTTAGCTGAAAGAAAATAATGGAATATTTGGTCAGGTATTACATCAAAAACGACCCCCTTCTCGACACTCTAAGTTCAACTATATTGATTTTCACGTTGGCATTTTGATTTCGCCATTGACCGAGATGCCACGCTTAACGCAAATTCAGAAGGGTAGAGCAATTGCGATGTTGATGGTTGGTCAAAGCCAAAGTGCCGTTGCACGGAAGTTTGGCGTTACCCCGTGTACAATCAACCGGCTGTATACACGTTTCCATGCTACTGGGTTAGTGTCTGTTTGTCTAAGGGGCTGTCACCAGCGCGTAACGTCCGCACGACAAGACAGGGCGATTTGATTGTCGCACTTGCACAACAGATTCAAGTTTGCTGTACCGCATACGTCAGGTACTCACGGCAGATCCAATGGTGCTCAAACTGCCAGGAACCGTTTGCGTTCCTAGAGAATCATTGCGCGCCGACCTTATATCGGGCCACCTCTGACACCACAGAGGTGGCAAGTACGTCTGACTGGATGCGCAGACATGGCCTGAATATGTTTGTGATGCGTCCATGGAGGCGTGTGATGTTCACCGACGAATCTAGATTCTATCTGTATCGCTCAGGCGAAAAAAGTGTATATTGCAGAAGTGGCGAGCATTTTGGCGATGCATGCGTAGTTGAACGCGACAGATTAGTGGTACTGGATTCAAACTTCAGATACCCTTACTACTTCTCCAGCAAGACAATTCTCGATCCCATGTGGACAGAATATGTCGTACTTTTCTCACGGCAAACGACGTTCAGTCTCTGGAATGGCCCCCATATCCCCGTCATGTCTCTCCGATTGTGCATCTATGGGATGAGCTGGACAGACGTGTAAGGAAACGCCAAATCACCCCCAACTAACCGAGCCCAGCTGGTCATAGTATTAACACAAGAATGGAACAACATTCCCTTATGGAGATTTAATGTTATCATGAATTCAATGCATAGAAGAATCCGTGCAGGGATTCGTGCAAGAGGTGCCCACACCAGGCACTGAAGTGTCATTTTGTTTTTCTCGAGTATCTCACTTTGAATGAGTAGTGACGTTAATCAGACTTTCCTTCTACAGTATTGTAAAGAGTAGAGTTTTCCCTTCACATTGATATACATTTTTGTTTTACAAATTTCCCAAATATCATAGGTTTTTGATTGTATAATTTATTTGTGTGTTTCTTTTTTTGTTGAGTATATAAGATTTAAGGCCTCGTGTTACTAAACAAATGCAATCAATGGAGAAGAATAAATTCCAACTCGCGACAACTTTAATGTATATTTGTTATCGTCGGTCACAAATTTATTTTTTTTCTCCGCGTACTTGACGAATCTTACTCAAACTGCACATGAAAGATCCTGTTTATCTCTTATTGTACAATGTAGATTTTCAGCCAAATCTGAAAAAAGCAAAACGGCTGACAGACGGCCATCATGGATTTTGACAATGTACATTTGTTATCACTATTTCACGATCGAGTTACGTAAATCTAACAAATCAAATGTCCGATGGGGATTTCATTAGGTTTTTAGTTGCGCAATTGTGATTCAAGCATTGATCAGAAAACAACAAAATGAATAACAGGCGGTCTTATAGCTTTTTTCCTGAAAAGTACTTAATAAATGAATTTTATTTGTAGTTTCCACTTGGTCCCTTGCCTTGCTGTGCAATGCTCATTTTGGAACTTATCAGGAAAATGGCCGAACGGAAAATATTTTGGATTTTTAGATTTTGGCCGTTAAAGAACAAATAAAGACGTAAGTAGATTTCTTATACTACATATTTCATTGTTTATGTTAAGGCAATATAGCATGATACCCTTCGAACACATGTTTGATAATGGTAGATTTCAATATGTGATGTTGAATAGAAAATAATAGCACGTTTCTCATAACAGGAAATGATTGCTAACATTTGCTAACTTTAATGCGTAGTGAATCTGTTGGATGTAAAACATTAGCTTGTTAATGAGAGACAGATAAGAATACACGGATTAGCAAACAAAACATTGTGTCACTTTATTACAGCAGTAAATCGATAACATACACCAAAGACTCACGCTCCAATGGATAGAAATCGTAAATGTGTAAACAAGAAAGAGAACTCTATGATTTTGAATGTATTATATATTGAAACAAAGGCATTATAATGCATATTGTGGTTATTGATGGTGGAATTCATTAAACAATACTGACATTTTATGATTTGACAAAAAAAAAAAAAAAAAAAAAAAGATGACTTAACGTTATGATTAAAATATTAGATAGTGATGTCAACATTCACTCCGAACAATATTCAATATTGAAAATAATAATGAGATATGCAAGATAAAAAAAAACTTTAGAAGAAATGTTTTATGGAGATTGATATTGATAAGTAAATACATTTACTACAAAGTTGTCATGGTTATTACATATCATGCTGGAAGACAGAAACTTACCTTTTGGTCCAGTCTTTTTGAAGCATTCCTTCGCACTTTCTGTTAAAGTGCCCAGGAGTGGGTAAAGAAACACCATATTGGTCGCTTTGAGTCCCTCTTTAAGTGATTGAGGGATATAGTAGTGGTCAGAGTCATCAATGGATACAATTTTTGTTGCTACCATGCAGCCCAGCCATTCCCGCACATATCTACAAAGGGAGGTAATCAAACGTAACAAATCATTAGTGAGACCATGCAGCCCAGCCACTCCCGCACATATCTACAAGGTAAGAACACGTTAGACATCCTTACAGAATGACAATATAGACCAGTCATTCCCGCACATATCTACAAAGGGAGGTAATCAAACGTAACACATCATTAGTGAGACCATGCAGCCCAGCCACTCCCGCACATATCTACAAGGTAAGAACACGTTATACATCCTTACAGAATGACAATATAGACCAGCCATTCCCGCACATATCTACAAAGGGAGGTAATTACTCGTAAAATTTTACTACTGAGACCATAAAAACCAACAACTCCCGCACATATATAAAAAGGGAAGTAATTATATGTAATATGTCATTAGTGAGATCATAGGTCTCAGCCAATCCCGCACATCTTTACAAAGGGAGGTAATTTTTCGTAATACATTACCAGTGAGATCATACAGCCGAGCCACTCCCGGACATATCAACAAAGGGAGTTAATTATATGTTATACATCATTAGTGAGAACATGAATATCAGCCACTCCCGGACACATCTACAAAGGGGAGGTAATTATGTGTTAAACATCATTAGTGAGACCATGAAGCCCAGCCACCACTGCACATATCTACAAAGGGATGTAATTATACTTAATAAAGGAATAGTGTGACCATATAGCCCAACCACTTCCCACATATCTACAAGAGATGTCGTTCCTAACACTCAATGCATCTGTAAAATTATCACGGACTATTTGACCTCGAGGTCATACGTATACAGTAGTGCCTGTGCATAACTTGTTGATCAGGATATACTGCCTTTTGAATCAGGTATTCTTAAATGCCTCATCTGCGCCTTTATCTAAAACCACAGGACTCAATGTAATAAAGTCTCTTCTTCCTCAGACCTTGGAAAAGATATATCAATCGGAAATAAGAAAAGAATTAAAAAAAAAAAAATTGAAAGAATAAAAAGTAATTGCTCGAATACCCAACATATTCCAAGCATGTCCTCGCGACAACAAAATCATAAAAAATCATTCAAAGTATTTTTTGCGACATAAACGAAATAGCTTTATAGATAACTAAATTACAAAATAATGCTTTATATAAAACAAACACAACCCAATAAGCTTGATCTTCAGACGAGTTTATACACACAAGGCTGGCTATTTGTCACAACAAGGTTTATGTAAACACAGGGGTTCAGTATATAAGACGCCGACAGACGCGACCGCGACCTTGATTTTATTTGAAAGTTAAATGCAAAAATGCGATACAACACCCTCTCCAATCAGGACAGCAGTCATGCTTGCTGTGTATTATTCATGCAAAAGTTATCGGAGTATTTTATGTAAGTTATGAGTTCTATAGTGGTATATCAACGTAGGGTCTTATCTAAAGGCTAGCCATTGAAGAAACAAACAGCTGTATGACGCAGATTTATTCACTGTTTGGCTCTACTATATCTTTTCTAAATTACGTGTTATTCACTCGTATGTCTTTTGTACAATCTTCAATTAACTGATATTCGCCCATGCAAAGACAATATATACTTCGGTTTAATACTAGGGCTTGTATAGGCGCTGTTTGTTGCCTTATTATTTTTTATTCAAATACATTTATTGCGAAATGAAATTAAATACATACGTCGGTGCTAAATATACATCTACCGGCGCTTACCTTTCTTTTAGATCGCACGCTTCTGCTAACTCTAGTGATGATACGGGTTTGTCGAGTCTTTTCAATTCATCAAACAGCCCAAGTTCTTTACCTATTGTGATGGCGGAGGTAATATAACTTCCAGATATGAGAGTTGTGATGTTGTTAGAATATGTCTCTAAATCCATTTTATTGGTGTGACGTCTAGGATAGATGTAGCTACTGATGTTTGGTTAGCCACAGAGCGTATCCTCATATATACATGTGTAAACTACAGAAGCCTTCGAGTGAGAGACACAAAGAGTTGCTTCCCGAAGCCTGAGTAGCTATTTACGGTCATTCCAAATGTCACTTTCTTTAAAATACAACTTTTTAAATGAAAAGTGTTCAATATTCACCATTGCGCAATAGTAATATAGATGTGTTATTTGACGTATTAAATGTTTTGATTTGTTTTCTTTACAAATCCTTTCAGTATCCCACGTCTGCTTATAATGATTCATATTTTTTTTAGTTTTTTTTTCTCAATAGTGACCTTTCCTTTTTCTTATCTACACTTTGTTAAACTATCACGACGCAATTGTTACGTTGCGTAACATTTTTCTCCTTCTTTGTGTTTCCATACTACAACCGATAACGGCCATAACCTACATATGGTGTCAATGACCTGATAACAGGACAGCTCGTGGGAACGTCAATATCAAGGTAGGCTGATAACAAGACGCTCTCGGGTGTGGTACACAGCATTCATCAAATATCAACCAGGAAGACGTACGATTTAAGATACCATGATTAACAATCAAAATAATTTTTTTTTTATCGCCGATTACTGGATACAGCGCTTATCACTAACGTAGTATATAGTAAACATGTAAGAAAGTAAACATTTCGTTGTTCGTATCATAAGATACCAAATTTACACTAAGGAATTATAGCACTACTAAAATGTAACCACAATTTCTACCATAACCTGCGTATGTTATCTCACGCCCAGACTATTCATTAAACACCATATCCATTGTTTATTCAAACGCATAATACACACGTGTATTATTGGTGACAGCCAAATATATTGGACGAGGGATTGACATTTGACCCAACAATGATCAGTGACCACGAACTACTTTCGCCACGTGCGGTTGTTTTCATCGTCTGCTGTCCATCATCAACATGGCTGACAGTGACGATCTGTCATTCTTGCCGGCAGTCAAGATCAGTGATGCGGCAAATCTGTGTGGAGGGGGAAAGGGGATAGTAATTGGTAAATGCAGTAATTTTGGTTTCCCAACCTTTGATATTGTGATGTACAGTTCTGATGAAAGTAATCAAAAGTTCTCGAAATTACACGCCATCTTAATCGTGTCTGCATTCACATTTTCCCGCGAAGAAGCACTACTCTTATCCGCAATAAAATCTAGTTCCAAATTACTGAATAAATAAGTCTTTTGCATCAAAAATAGCGATTTTGTTTCTTTTTGCATATTAATGAGCCAATCAGACAACCTACGATGTATTCTTACGCAAATGTGTCAATGGGGGCGAAACAATGTTGTACACAATACATATATTTCTCCGTTAAAAGGTTATGGTAGAAAGAAGTTCTACAACTCGTGACAGGTGATTATCATCGTTATTAAACTCTCGTTAGTTAATTTTCAAATTTAGAAAAGACACGAGGCTCTGCCGAGTTAGATAACGATGATAATCAACTACCACTCGTTGTAGAACCTATATACAATACAATACAATACAATACAATACAATACAAATTTGTATTAAATTATATATATATATTGGGCGAGTCACACTAGATACAAGGATTACTAATAATGAGAGACCAGTAATTAAAACTAACTTATATAATACCTTTATAATCCAATTATGAATTATACTAAAGTTGTATGGACATACAATTATACATAAGATTGTATAAAAGACACACAAGACAATATCGCTTTTATATACAACTTTAGTGTGAAAGATTAGAGTCAAACAGTGAATTTCACTATATCATACATTTATTTCGTCCTTCTAGGTCTCTACTGGAGACAACTGAGGAAAATCCAAAGTGATGTAGAAAAATGTAAAAATCTATATAGGAAGGTGCATAAAGGCCCATTATTTAATCATTTCATAATTTTCATACATGTGATAATTTTAGAACAACGTCACGTATAAGTATATATTCTGAACCGTAATGTTATTCGTGAGAAATAAAACACGGACAAATTGAAATAGTTTTCATCATGATTCTAAATCCAATCTGTCGGTGAACGTGTGTTGAAAGTCCAATACTTGTGATGTTTTGTTTTGAATTTTTTTTTGTTTCGAAGTTTTGTTTTGTTTCGAAGTTTTCGATGAAATTGCAAAGTGTACAGTTGAAAATAACGCATAGTGATTCTTTAAAACGTCTTGAAGACTGTGTGATATATGTCACACTGCAGAGGTAACACTAATTAAAGTACAGCGTGGTCTTTGATAATATCTGATGTCATGTTACTATTTTCAATTACACATTTTTTTATACCAATAAATACAAAACAAAAAACTCTAATACCAGCATTCCAATCCCAGATATATCTTATTTTATTTGTTAGTACATATTCAACGTCATTGTCAGGTAATGGTATCTAGCCAAGTTTAAATGTAAAAACATGTATGTAAATAACTCCACGACAACCTTTACTGTGAATACATTATAATTATGCAAATCTTTACAGTGAATACATTATAATTATGCAAATCTTTACAGTGAATACATTATAATTCTGCAAATCTTTACAGTGAATACATTATAATTCTGCAAATCTTTACAGTGAATACATTATAATTCTGCAAACCCTTACTGTGAATACGTTAAATTTTTTCAAACCTTTACTGTGAATTCATTATAATTCTGCGCACCTTTACAGTTAAAAAAGTTAAAAATTTTTCGAACCTTTTACTGTGAATTCATTATAACTTTGCACACCTTTACAGTGAAAAAGTTATAATTATGTAAACCTTTACGGTAAATATGATATAATTCTGAGCATCGTTAAGAAATGGATATATCGGTTTCGTTAGTCGTTCTCGTTGAATTTCTCAATGTAAAAATTCCAAAATACCATTATTTGTATCCGACGTAGTGAATTGCTTGATTGAAATTTGTTATAAAGCAATACATACATAGCTCCAATAAGTAAAACAAAATAGATAAAAAACAATGTTTACATATCAGTGGCACACTTCAGAAGTATACAGTTACATGAAATCAACGATGCCAGATTGAGAGATTTTCTCACATGCTGTCTGACGCTACAAAGACGCCTAACCTATTCGTAAATTTTGTATATGTTGTATTATGTTCCGTTACATGTTTACAAACAACATGCGTATGCTACACGTTACTCCCTTTATCTTTCAACATGCCATACTCACAACATATACTACTAGATGTTCATCATAATGGCTGACAAATACCCCAGACTATAATGTGACATGGGTAACTTGAATTGACTAATCTTTACATGGCGATTAATGTTGATGAAGCAGAAGACGCTTACTCTCCCGGAACAGAAATATCTGTTTGATTTTGTTTGTCCACATCTTGCCCAAGTTTCCCGTGTTGGTATTTTCTTGTTTTTATTTGTCTTATTCTTAGACATTTCTTTGTCAATTTTCAGATATTCAGGCAATATTTAATTTCGACCAATCCTATGCCTCTATTATGTTCCCATGGTAATGGCTTTGGAAATATCTAACATGTCATATAGCAGAAAATGATAACTTGCAGCATTTGACCCAGTGTGAATTATGAATAAATGAAATAACCAAAGAGTTATAACCATTTAGAGTATATATGAACACCTGTTTACAGAGGTAAAATTGTTTTTCGCATACATAACAACAATGGGTTATAATATTCCTACATTTTTATGACGTTCAATCGGTAACGACCAATGGACCAATTACAAGTTTCTTGGTTATACGAACAATATATATATATAGCATTATAGAAAGCTGATTAGTAACCTTTGATATGGGTATACCTTATCTGAATGTTTGATAATAGTTTTACAACCAAGGTTTCCATCTCAAACAAAACAAAAAGCGAAGGAATAATCATTTACGAAAAATGTTTGAAATTAATAATCTATAGTAAATGTATTGCGCTGTATTCGGTCCATTTCACAGAGAATGAAATATCATAGACAATAATAACAATACACCCAATTTCCGTTTCAGAGTTCTAACGATATCTGGCAAATGCATTTTGTATATAGATAAAATAGTATCAAACAGTGTATCTGATCTTGCTATCGTTGTCCTATTTTTTTCTGTGTTATTTATTTTTGTTTTGTTTTTGTTTTTATGATAAATATGTCTTTATCCCATCTCAAATCGTAAATTAATACATGTTAAAACCAAGTTCAGCTAATATCTAAATGTGATTTTGAAAATGCATCAGAGTATTTTAACACCGAGAAGTACACTTTTAACATAATTACACACTCTCCATATCCTTATTTTCTTAACTTTTCTTAACATTTGAAATATTATCTTGAATTTTCGGCTAATTGTTGACCACGATCTAATTCGTTCCTTTTGAAATACCACCATCCCTCCAGGTTTTCCTTGGTTGCTTCAACAAGACAATATTGCGGGTCCGAGTATACATGCCGGGTCTTAAAAACTTGTAGTGCAGTCGTAATGCGGCAACACAAACGTGGCAGGATCGATGATGTCCTCAAATGGCTTCTCGTTGCTCTTCGCATTGCGTACCTAAATCATTAAGTCTTATTATATTTCAGATCAAAAGTATTTCAGGATTAAAGATGGGCGTTTCCTGTGCCTCAACGAAATTCTCGCTATTATGTATATCATGGAACAAATGACAACGTAAAGACCTTCTAACAATTGTTGAGATACCTAATGTTACAAACGATCAAATGGTTGACATCCATAATATATTCTTCGTTCTATTCTCGATTATGAAATTATTTTTAAAAATGTTATGGTACAAATATTATAAATAGACAAAAATAAATCGTGTCGACCTCGTAGATATCAATATTAATGCTGATTAATATTTCAAATGTTTACCACCAGTACAGAAAAAAAAATCAATAAAACACAACAAAGTAGGTGATGTGTCCTTGACTAATTCTTATTTGTCCCATATTTCAAGTATGTTTTAAGTTGGATTGTGCTATATTGTCTAAACATTTGTTATCTGCATGTTGAGATGCCTCTTACCCTTTCTACATCCCTGAAGACACGAAGTAAATTCTGTCCAGCTAGCTTGCTAAGTTCCTCGGTCGACCAGTTTCGTTTCATTAGTTCGGCAATTAGCACAGGGAAAGTCGACACATCCTGGAGCTCAATGGGCATGCTTCAATAAAAACAACTACGGTAAGCCAAATAACATTAAATGCTATAAATAATGATTAATTAGGCGTGTAGAAATTTGTATTCTTTACTCGGCTTTTTTTCACTTTTAGTTTATCTGATGTGCTTTATTGTATCCCTGAATCAGTTGCCAATTGCATTTTGCAGCAGAAAATAATAATAAAATAAAATCAAAATTGGGTCCGGAAATAAATCTCCATGATTGCCTGCTTCGTTTCAAATCTTTTATCATGCACATATGAATGGGTTTTGCTTATTTGTTAGATGCATCAATGCTACAATTATATCTTATTATATTGTTTAATAATGTATCATACTTACGTTGCAACACCGTCATAGTCAGCACCCAATCCCACATAATCAACACCGATATAATTCTTCACGTAATCAATGTGATCTGTAAAGTATTAATGAAATCAGTCGTATAATCATTGGCACATAGTCTCTAGGCTTTTATAGGACGATAGCATACATCTTGTCTCATGACTTCATTACCCACATGTAGTCACGGTACAAGTATATAACATTAGACAATAACGTGTTTCTTTGCACATACTTTAAAATGTTTCTGACTAATGTAAAGTTTGGGAATGATGTATCAATTCAAAACCTTTAAACTGTAAGTATGTTGAGAAGATAGAATAGCTAATAATTAACTAAGTTTCTTACGTCATTTATTCATTGCCCGGAAAATATCTTTAATTGGCAATACATTCACCGTGTTCTCATGTAGATACCTGATATTACTATTATCGCTATGAAGATTTTCATGACGGGTGTCGTCGATGAAGCGGAATACACTCACTTGTACTTGTTAAATATTCTCAATGTAAAATTTTCTTTTGTTCAAATTTTGCAGTTGCTTCATCCGAGTTTGAATTAGGATTCTGTTAACACGTACTACTATATTGCTGTATGATGGTACATGTTTCAGTATGTTGCTCAGCAGTGTATTGATATGAAAGGAACATTGTTGACAACAATGCATTCCCATAACTTCACAATATTTACAGCGTCCGAGGAGTATCTGCATATGTTAGATACACTTCGTGATTTTCATCTTGTCTGCATATTCAATTACGTTGACATTTATTGCATAATGTTGAGTAAAATAATGAGAAAAAGAAATCAAAATATCACGGAATATGGCTAATTTTGGGTAAAACGGCAATTTTCGTTTCGTTGATCGCAGCTGTGATCAGTAATTAGGACAACAATGATGACGATTACTTTTTTCCACTGTGGAAACTTCTCCCGGCATCTTAACATTATTGTATGATATTCCACGTCTGCTATATAATTAGTATATTGAAGCACTTTTAGAAGAGTTTCAATGTTGACAGATGAACATTAACATTTGCTCCATAAACCGCCCAACGCACCTCATTATCCTAGATTATTCAAAACAAAACATATTATCAGTCATTTACTGTATGTTTTCAATAGATATAGGCAGTAAATATGGACATCGTATATGGAGGTTATTTCCAAAATATGTCTTTTTTTTCTTTCTCTAACGACCTAACATTAACCTACATATGTGAAATAAGCACTTATATCTCTAGTAAATCTCTAGACATATGATTACAGGCAGAACTGGCAACGAACTACCTGCCACCTGTTGCACAGTTGTTGTGTTTCTGTGATCTGTAGCATTGTTGATGTATCCAGTGTAGAAATTTATCATTATTATACCATTATTGTCTCTCTGAAAAGACAAAACAAAATGTTGGTTGTATGCTTAAGCAGTTTGCCAATATCAATATCATGATTACGTGTATTTCTCCTACACTTGTGGTCTAAAATGCAAAGTTCAATTATATATGTTGATTGCCGTTGTAATTGACGTAATGTTACCCAATCTCATTTATCTAACTGACTTGTAAAATGGCAGGATAATATCACCCAGGTGTGTAGATCATTACACTGAGGACAAAACCAAGTACATAATGTCACCTCATATGTGTTGATGTCAAATGATCAGGTAAATTTAAGAAGTAAATTGAATACAACATATATAATATGAATTGTTACACAAAGAATTATGGAATGTACGCTTAATCTGTTAGGTCCATCTTGTGACATATCAGTTTACCAGATGCCTTGTCCTGTCATTGTTTTATCTTTGTATGGACTGCATTTGCCTCATCTTACCAGCTTCAGGAGGACATCATCCTGGACATTTCTGTAATGACTACATATAGAGAAAACGGAGGAATGACTGAAGATGACGGGTGCTGCAGAAGTTTCAATGGCGTCAAGCATGGTTTGACGGGACACATGTGACAAATCAACCATCATACCTAGTCTGTTCATTTCCTTTACTACAATCTACAAGAAAGTCATGTTTAGCGTATCACATTTAGGCTGTTAAAATTGAGATATATATATTTATTTATTACATTTTTGGCAGTGATAAAATTTAGATTAAACCAATAAAAAATTGTATCATAGCTAATTATCATTGTATCACCAGTCATTATATCATTTTGTTAGTGTTGGTATAAGTTTTATAACAGAATGTTGAATAAGTGCATTTGTTTTCGAAATTTTCCTAATTTGGTATATAACAGTTATGCAGTTATCTAGAGTAACGTCAACTAGCTGACGTCAAAGAACAACCTGGTATTTCCCAAACGTTTTAAACACTGGTTTACTTTATGTTCAGACCATCATAATTTTCCTGTATATATTTTACAATCGCGCCTTAAATCAGTGAGAAATATAGATATGCTGTTATAGTCATGAAATATTTATGATATTAACCTGGAAATTCTCATCTCCAGTTTGAAATAACATTTATGAAAAAAAAAAAAAAAAAAAAAAAATTACGATAAAGGATAAATAAAATTATTTTCTGTTTCTGAGCAAATGGAATCCTCTACTCCAGACTATTTAAGTAATTAAAGCTATTGTTTGATAACTGCTTAATAGTTATATAATAGCTCCTGATTTACCCTAAGTTTCTTTAGCCTTGGCAAGTAACTGATAGGGGGTCAATTCCCCCTGAAGGGGACCAATGCCCCAGGACTGTCCTGGATTAGGTAACAAGCACACATATTATGACAACCTGAGAATGGGATTGCGCCAATTTGGTAATTGTTATCATATATGGACATTTCTCACTGTTTGACCATCACTCATTATAAGCACTGGCGTGATCGTGTACACACAGCCAGGTTTTTCGCCAAACTGGACCACTACATGTTTATTACCCGATTTGCGATGGAAAACATTAATTGAAATTTTCAGTTAAAGGAATAAAAAAAAAACGCAATAAAAACATCCCCGTCCAATATGAATGTGCATGCTTTTGAGTCGTGGTGCCCAAGAAGGCCAGCAGAACAATACATTATCTAGTAAGTGTCGATCAAACCTCAACTTACACATGCTTTCATCTCGCATTCACTGGAAAGCAGTCCTTAAATGATCATAGCTGTTGATACGACGTTAAACAGTACAAGTTCTAAACTTGAGACCTAAACACATCACATTAAATTCAACACCACAGAGCTGTTCTCCTTTTGTATTGAACGATTTCTTTCCTTTTCTCGTTTCAAATATTTTATTGATACAAGTAACCAAAGAATCGGAGAGCTGGTTTATAGATACACTTTAGTGTAGTTTACAACCATATATTTGTACAGCCGTTCACAACCATTGGAAATGGACGAAAACAAACATTCTATCAGTTTAGAATCGGTTATTGTGGTGTAGAAAAATCAAACATTCTCTTTGAAGACATTTAAAACTCATCCGGAACACCTGGTCTCTTTCTCAATGTACTTTTCAGGAGTCTTTGTGTTAACCTTTCTTTGGTTCATATCTAGCCATAGTTGGTATTCTCCTGATGTGTTTTTTAGATGTGTTAAAAATTGGTCAGAAGCTCTTTGGAGTTCGTTGATCTCCAAATACTATTAATTCCACATCTTGAGTGAATGGTGTAGGAATACGTCCGTAACTCAGATTTAAACGAATTATTACACAAAAAACTTAACATGTTCTAAATTTCATCATCATGGCGCCATTTGGTATATATTCTGTCCTATACGAAGAACCAACGACATCATCGAACCTTACCTTCCCAAAACTCGTCAGACCTTTAGAAATTCCTCCATTTTCGTCCGCTTTGTAATTATCCGCCCTGGAAAAATGAAACCTTGTATTGTATAGAACTGTATCATGTACATCGTTTACTTCCTAATCTTTACTTGTAGGAATGAGCACATTGTCCTGCTGTGTCAGTAAAAGGAACTACGCATATTCCTATTCAGGTCTCTGCTTTATTTTCTTTGTGTTAACCAGCTCTCGCTACGTGAAGTTTGTTTTTTTCTGTTCGTTTGCTGGAAAATTACACTACTCAATACTCAAACAGACGTAAATCTTCCATAATCAGTAAAACACTTTCTAGAGCTGGGATTGTATCATATATAAACAAATTATCAGTTATAACAATATCAAGAGCATAAGCTATTAAAAGATGTTCTTATACCATGTGAAGTCAGAGAATTCATTTGTGATGTTAACGAGTTGGAATAATCTTGTTTTTGAGATAATTACAGAGTATGTAACAAAAACGTTATCAAAATTTAGGTTATCACTTACCAATCATTGTCACAACTGTGGGTCAAGGTCATGTACCTTACCCCGACCTTATAATACATCCGGAGAACACCAAGGGTATTTCCGATCATGTGACCACTTTCGAGACCAATAAGGCTGGCAATTTTCTTGTTGGCAAATACTGTTTCAATATCTGTAAATCAAAATCAAATAAAAATCTTCGTTTCTCAATTACGATGATTTCAGAGCAAGTCGTTGATAAATGCAAGTTAATGATTTCCGTGTCAAATTTTTTAAAAGACTATATGATTACGTAATCAATCAAGCGGCCTTCTCTTTGTACTAGTTGTGTTAACTTTACCTAAATCAAATAAAACACTGACTTGAAGTTATGAAAATACAATGACTTCTCTATAACATATTAACTGCTCCACCTCCCTGTCTAGAGTTTTTCTGTCGATCACTTTGGATTTTCCTCAGTCGCCTCTTAGGCTTCAAAACTTAGACCCCTCATCACTGACGAGTCCCAGAAGTTTAATTCATTTTTTGGCTCTGCTAACTCGAAATTATCGAAAGGTGCTGTATATCTTTTATACAAATTTAAATTAACTAATATACACGACATACCAATTAATGAAACTGTTCTTACCGTCAGCAGAGAGAGCTAGTGTAAAGGTCTCTGGGTATTTCCTAATCATCTTGTGGATTACATCAACTTGGTCAAACCCTTGTCGCACAGCGTCTTTGGCAGTGGCAGCACAAATAATGAACGCTGCCCAGAACTGAAAGTAAGAATTAGAGAAATGAAGACGTGAGGGCGAAAGGACTACTATTCTCTTAGGAAGTGAAGCTGAAAAAAATAAACAGTCGAACCATCCTATCGAACCACACATACCGATAAAAACCCACATGTCAATTTAATCATAATCCAATCTCAAATTCAAACTATAAGTCTATGGCGTCGTGAACGAAATAATGATTTACACTGAGACTCATAAAAAATCAAGGAGAATATGATCAGATGTTCCGGAAAATGAAGCGTTTTTTGCCTTATCGACGACACCTGCCATGTAAATCTTGCCCAATCCAAGTAAGTAATGCCATTTTCGCAAATGAAAGGAAGGCATACAACAACAGAACCGACAGGCAAACTTCTTATTGCTCAATGAAATAGAAAAACTTTCAATGAGATCACCTGACGACTATAAAACTTTCCCATAATTTTCATTAACTTGCATCTTTTGAAACCTCGAGTTACGAGTTTGTCCGTACGCTGACAACTTCGTCCTCGAAAAAGTTATTATGGGAACATGTCCTCGAATGTAAACATCACAGTCTGGGGATACAGGATTGTTGCTCACCAGAAATAGAACATTCACAAAAGGGAAATTGAAATAAATATAAACCTTAATCGTTTTACAAACACTGTGAAACAATTTTTCTAACTAGTAATTATCGATTGTCCGAATGAAAGCATTAATGGGTGTTACTGTGGGAGGAAACCGAAGTACCCGGGGTAAATAAACAAGGTAGGGCAGGTACAGGTAACCCAATTCCTTTTCAGGGAATTCATATCTCCGACATCTAGATAAAAGGCGATGGTGTTACCACTGTGCGATCCAGTGCAGTAAAAGAAAGTAAGAGAAGCAAGGAAAATGAAGAAAAACAAGAAAAGAAAGACGTACGCTTTATATACAATCTTCGACCCATTTTTTTCAAAGTCAATTTCCTTAATTTTACGCAGCGTCTGTTTTAGCGTATTTCAAAGTACTACATACTGTATTTTCCCGTCTTTATCTTATATATGTACATCAGTTATACCATTTCAGTTTTAATACGATGTATATTTAACAGATCCGTGATTCTAGTTGCGGTACTTGTGGAATACCAATAAATGAGCATTGTTTTTATAGAAACACCATGTACATTTTTTCTTGATATTAATGTTATACGCTGATAATAGATAGACATGGATATTCCTTAAAATTACGACCACATCGAGTATTCCACGTATCGTGCATGCTATTATTTGAGCAGGAGGTATAGGTTTACATAGATTTTAACGGAACAGTATACATTAATATGTGATGCAAAAATGTATAAAAACAGGCTTTAAATATACTAAGTTGTACATTCGTTGACAAGCTTTTCTGAGAATATTACGGACCTTTAACAAAGCTTTGTGTATTGTAATAAGTAGAACTAGGACCGTGAATGATGCTTTAACATGGTTGAATTGATTAAAATATTGATACTGATGTTACTTAAAGAAATGACGATATGACAAGCAACAAAACATATTAAGATCAAAGGATTTATAGATCGATATTGCAAACATTTCCATTTCTAGAAAAATCCAAGGCCCAATAGCTTACAATGAAAAGTACTGAAATTTAAGCTACTTGGTATTTATAGAATACTTAACCCGTTGTCTATCCTTATATATAGCTTTTACAATAGTTGACTGTCATCAGTGTTTTTTTTTTAAATTAAAATTGAAGGTACATAAATCAGTAAAAACCAATGGCTTAGTGTAATTAAGAATATACAAGATTATTATACATAGCATCTCCATGTATTTCGTCATGTTGTGAACTCAATATTGAAGAAAAGGTCACAAGACATATGCACTCTTTGGTTCAAGTACGATTGACGCGACCATTTGTCTAATTATATCAACTTCACGATAACAAACACCAACCTGAGCGCCTACACGTCCCGCGCGGAGCCGTGGGATATCGGTCTGAGGAAATATAGCTTCATAGGAGTAGTCGGTCATGGGTGTTCCTGGGGGCCACTGAATCCTTGTATCCTCATTCAGATTGACAGAGTACACCTTATTTGATGCGTACCGACGATACTGCCAAGGAAGATCATTGTGACTGAAAGGAAAGTTTTGATTTAAGCATACAATGCCAATATTCAATAATTTCATAAATATATATTATGTATGTATAGATTGACGTAAATCAGTCAGTAGAAATGCTCATTAAATGTTCGAAAATATCCTTACTTTTTGAAAAAAAAATCAAATATTCGATAAACCCATTACTCATTTGATATTACTTATTAAATGTTTGATTAAGTCGTTAAATGTTCGCTAAATTGACGAAGTGTCCGATAAGCTCATCAAATGTACAATTAACTCATTCAGTGTGCGATAAACTCGTTAAATGATCAATAAAGTCATTGAATGCTTGATAAACCCATTAAATATTTGATAAACTCATTAAATGTTTGATAAACTCATTAAATGTTTGATAAACTCATTAAATGTTCGATAAACCCATTAAATGTTTGATAAACCCATTAAATGTTTGATAAACTCATTAAATGTTTGATAAAACCATTAAATGTTTGATAAACTCATTAAATGTTTGATAAACCCATTAATTGTTTGATAAACTCATTAAATGTTTGATATACTCAGTAAATGTGTCATTGGGAATAACGAGTAATATAAAAAAATAATCACAGCACATTCAGAGGAAACTTGTTATAATCTACACTGATAATTCCGGATGTGCTTAAATAATTATAACATAAGCTATCATTAACTCTCTATTTGATATATCCTTTTACTTGAAAGCTTTAAAGCATTATTCAAAAATATAATTTCAACTGATAAAATGATATATAGTTTTTCACATTCAAACACAGATTCAACATAACAGACAAACAGGTTGCACAAAAGACAAAAGGCAACAGTACCTTTTAATACAAATTGAGAGTTAGGTACAGTAGAGCGAAACAAGTAATTGAACTGCATCACACAACTGATTCGTCCGTCTAGGATTCGGATATGACGTTCAGGGCCTAACATTTTAATCCTAGGAGGCAACAAAAGAAAATCCAAAGAGATTGAAAGCAAATTCAAAATCTTAATTTGGATGTGCACTAGCTTCATGATTATATGAATTTCGCAGTTTGCTCATATCAGATGATTTTAGAACGGCGTCAAGTACCACAATTCGAATGAATTAAAAAGTGACATTCAACTTACTTGCAGACCTCATGGACCAAACGTCCACCAGCAGTATGTACTAACATCAAAATAACAACATAGGTAAATGAAAATCTATGACGTTAGCGTACAATATCTTTATATAAACTTACCCATCAATTAACACGTGGTTTTCTAGGAAGTCTCGTGCAGGTTGTAGAAAGGATGTATTTGACGGCGAAGCATCTCGTTTGGACATGGGAATCGCTACAGCCAGTCCAATAAGTAGGGCTAACCCACCAACAGTTATCAAAGCTAGGATGCATTTGTCACGAGATCTACCTTTGTAGAAAGCCGGTTTAAATGTCAGTTCCTCTGTAGAGCCTGACATGTTGAATTAACGTCAGATGTTCTAGAATCTGAAAAAAACCCTTAGTGACGTAATTGTACCTATCCATATCTGTACTGCAAACATGTACGGACCTCATGGTTAATCGTTGATTTTGTTATTGACTGTACGTGTTTGAAACATTCACGTTTTCAGGCTATTCCAATATTCCAATTTTATGTCATGCTTGACTACTTGTTCGTGAAACCCCTCAAATTTAATGCTGATGACTCTACGTAATAGTTTTGAAAACGAGGCAATTCAATTGCTAAACACGAACACATGATGGCTAGCAGAAATGACAGTACTGACACTGTAGATAAAATCTTTTTGCTTAGTACTGAATTTTGTTATGGGTGTTACAAATGTTATTTGATAACTCTAAGTCAATTCCGAATTACGAAATGATTGACATTAATCGCCAAGATTGTCGCGACCGATTCAGGAAGAAAGCCATTTTTGTTTTCAGGCGGAAGGTGGTTTGTACTTATGCGGTATCATAGATGACGTAAAAAAAATACTTATGCCTCCTGTTGGCCAGTAGAGTAGGATTTCCTTTTATAATTATTATCTAAACTCTTTATGTGCATATTTCAGTGAATACAAAAAAGTAATTTTTCACAAGGCATTACACTCGAGAGACCTAAGCAATAACAATAATAATAATAATAATAATAAAAAAAAAAAAAAACAGTGAAGATAAAATCGATTTAACTTGATGTCGCTTTAAAGTAAGGGCTCTTATGCCCCGAGACGAGGACTGATTCCTTCGTATCGCCTCGGAAAACAGGTATGGTTCAAGGGTCATGAAAATCGTACTTCTAAAACTGTCTTAAGAATGGACTAAGCGAATCAACGTTAAGTGACGTCATATGTGACTGTCTAAATTTAAACATACCTTTAAGATTGTTTCATGATCCCAGGGGTCAGATCTCATGAAACTAGAAAATTGATCTATACTCCCCAAGTCTGTAGTCTTCTCTTAACTGGTGTTGTGGTGCTTAGGTATGACGTGTCTTAGTTAACTTAGCACATCATAACGAAGTCCACAAAAATACCCGGGTGTAACCGTTTTGTTAAAATGCAGTATTTTCAAATGCTTTTAGAAATAATGTAAGATACTCTTTGTTCAGGCTTAACAGAATAGTCCACTATACATATCCCTATGTTTACCCTTCATCAAAAGATTGTCTTCTTCTAGCATTGAATTAGTCAGAATAACGTCTGCCTTATTTTCCCTTGCAAAAAGGCATAGCTAATTTTGAAACATATCAATATATTACTACCATAATGATTTGTCAATCAATAAAGCCATTCAAAAATCTTTACTACACAAGTGTACTATGTCTGTGGAAACACACGGCTTTATCACTGCGAAACGTAATAGAAAATTGAGGCTGATCAGCGAGGAAAGTTCACGCAAAAAGACTGCATTAAATTTGCAACAGTCAGAGAAAGGGTATGCATCAAAATTGTAAACATAGCTAGTGGTACCTTCCGAATGAACATCAGCTCAAAGATATTTATATTGACTCTCCCGTGGTAAAAGAACAACACCGTATGGTGTTCCTGTATTGTGAATGGCTGTACATGTTGAGGAATGTGTTTTCTCGCCATGTGACAACATGTTCCGTCACATTAAAACAGTTGTGCCTGTGCTCCATAAAATGAAAAATTTCTGTTTATTATCGCTAAAATTGACTAACACACTGTATGAACAAAACAGATAGTGGAAATTTTAAATCTATTAAAACGGAAATGAAAGATATCACACTAACCTCTCTGACATATAACGTGAATTAAGATTAGAATGCAGCACAGACATTTGCCGCGAATTCCTGACTCACGGTCGATATATAAGTATTGTAGTGCCTTTTGCCCCTTTTTAATTTGATGAATTTATTTTGTATAAACTAGAACAATCAATGTGTGAATGAAAATGGAACCATTTGAAATATTTTAACATATTAGAACTGTAATAACAGTATGACGTTATTGTCGAACTGTTTTTACTCACTGCAGTCGACAAACTTTCCCGCAAAATTGGATCAACTAATTTGCTAATCCATTAATTGTCGGGCTGTTCCGTCAGTGTGTATGGCGTCCAATGGACAGCGATCATTATGTTTTAAAGGGCGTAAGTAAAGCAAAAAAATGTATTTAAAATGTAAATAAAATAATAATAAAGAAATAATTTTTCCCTTTTTGTTGTGTAGATTGCATGTTTGTTTACAAACCAGTTCACAACAGAAAATATGATTCATTTCTTTAATGAAGCGAACCTAATAACTGACCCTCTCTATGTCTTCGTCACGATAAATAAGTTTTCTTGATACCAGAGTCTTGCTTAGAGCCTTTCAAGCTAAATCTAGATTATACACTATAAACCACTTGCAGGCAATTGTATTTCGTCTGATACGTTAAATCAAACAACGATAAACGTTTCGTATCAAATTTAATCTGCCGTCAACCGAACCCTGTTGTATCCCCGACTAACAGCGTGGTACAGTCAGTACCACGGTCTGACAATGGCTGTATATGGATGCTCACTCTGTCGACTGGTACTTTACAATTTCTTAAGAACGAAATAAGAATATAAGTAACACATTTATGTTTTGATGAAAAACAAGTTATCCAGCCTTTGGATTTTAATTACAGTGTAATCAGAAATATGAAACTATGTAAAGAATGCGTGTGATACGAGACGAGACGACTGTTTGCGGACGGATTTCCAATGCCCGCTGTTTAGGCGTCTTGCTAGTGTTCAACACTACGGTAAGCTGTATTACACTGGATGTACATAATGGAGACTAAGGATTGTTCTCCCTTCACAGTTGTTGATTTTCTTCCGTATCGTCAATTTAGGGAATATTGGAGAGACGAAAACTTATTTATTGCCCCTTAGGCAACAGTAAAATTCTTGATTTTTCCCTTTCATTTCGAGCTTACTCACTTGATTCTATGCTTAGCCAGCCATGCAGTTATGAGTAAAGAATCGTAAAAGGCAACTTAATTTAAAAATTTTTTTCTGAAGGTCTCTCTTTTCTTCTTGTCACTCTGGACACTTAAGTACTTTTGACCTTAAGTTGAACTTTTGACCTTTAGAGGAAGACTTTGGTGAGACATACAACAGCCATAAAACTAAAGTAACGAGTAGTTCGCCTGTTTTCAATCAAATATGACGGGAAAATGTATAATGTTTCTGGAGTACTATGCAGTGTGATAGCACTATAAAGATCATATGGAGGCTTAGGCGAAAATATCACATTCTCCTACAAACACATTTACCTCGTATACACCAGATCCTTAAGTGACCAAAGCTGTTGTTGGAACGATTCAGAATACAAACTAAACCAAATCAATTTTCGTTTTAGGCATTCCTCTCGACAACAGACCTCATATAACCACTGCTCTTGTGAGGACGTCAAACCTCTTATAAAAATCATACATACATGTAATTAATATTGTCTAGGGATGATAAGATTGTGGCATAAGTTGAAAGTTGAGGCCAAAAACAGTTGACTAAAGTCTTTCACCACTGATGTCTAGTTAAGAGAGAGTTTAGTTGATAAACTGATCACGCTCGCTTCTTTGTTTAAGTAAGATGGTTGCATTATCATTGCTGTAGCTGTAGGACCAGGCATATTGTGTAACGCAATTGCATTAAGTATGCTAGTAAATTTTGAGTTGCAATAGTCATATAACACACCAGCCGGCTTCCACATATCCGCCCGATAAGTTGCAGAAACGTGTATAAACATTTGTGCATATGCAGTAACAAAAAATATATTATATAACAAACCTGTCTTGTGATGTAGACAAGCCTCTCTTTCAGCAAACCTTGATTTTTGATGATTTGGCCGTGAACACACTGTTTGTACAGGCCTTACACCGACAAATGTATGCAAATATACCCCGGCAGAATGTCCCAAACCGGCAGTTTTACATAACCTACAGGTGTATCGCATTACCTCGACATGCTCCGATTCCTGTCTTATTTTAAATGTCATTTGGATGACTTTAAGGAATATCATAATCATACAACAGTGCTCAATATTAGAAATCAACGACAGAAAACAAAACAGAATACAGCAAAATATCTTCGGGAACAATATTTAAATTCCCCTGATGAGAATCTCGCCAAGGATGTAGATCTCATTTTGTGTCTCTGTTAAATCAATAGTAAATAATGAACATGGTTGTCTGAGGTACTTTCATAATTATCACAGGACGCGTTGATGTTGATATCTATAGGCAACTAAGTCAACTTCAAATACTTCAAAGGAAAAGTTGATATATAGATAGGGAGGTGCATCAGTGGCTTAATTCAATAAATATTTATTTTTTTCAATATTGCATGGTTTAAGTCTTAGTGTCTCGTGCTTTTTTCCTCGTGTCTACAACTTATGCCTTTCTTTTCGTATCTAGAATTTGCGTCGTCATCCTCCTGACTTGGCCTTTGCACCTATTACCTAGGTCTCTACCTTGCGTCTTCATTCCTCGTGTCTTTGAAATCATACATTTAACTCGTGCCTCTACAACTTGTTTATTTCAATGTGTGCATTACCCAACATATAAATAATTTGCGCAACATTGATTATACAATTTTTGTAAACTATGTCGTGCCTATGAATCTCCATAATCTGAGTTCTGCGTTTATCGTCTATACATCTGACCTGTATTTATTGTCACATGAAGTGTAATGTATACAGATATCTCGTGTATATGTGTTCTGTTTGTAAGCCTCCCTACTTTGTGTCCAGTGTCTGTTGCTACCTTGAGTGTGTATGTCTCATGAATTTTCTGTCCTGTCTGTGCATACAACCCTTACTAATCGAATTTGAGTTTGGATTTTGATGATGTTGACACGTTTGTATTTTCTTGTTGTTTTTCCTCTTTGATTTCTCTCCTTTACATATTGTCACCTCGAGGGTAAAATATATCTTTGTATATTTGTCCGGTCAGTAACTCCTCATAATATGTTGTTAACCCGAGTGTTGTGT